TGGAATCCTGAGTGGGGCTCCTCCTTGGAGAGAAAGAAAGACGCCTAGAAACAAAGTGACTGCTGCCTTCACTCTCTTCTAAAACACTGAGCAGCGAAGACCGTTAGGGAAGGAAAAGACACTGAGGGTCCTAAGGCTCGCTCGCTCGAAGGGTTCTTCACTCCAGCCCCGCGTGAGAACACAGCACCAGCGCCCTGCTCCTGGCCAGCGGCCAGTCGGCGGGAGGCCTCCCGTCAGCAGGCGGCAGGGTCACCGTGCTGCTCGGGGCGGGAACAGGCACAGTTTTCCCGACAGATCGGCCCTCCCACAGCGGCTGCTCAGACATCCACTCGGGTGTGATGGGGACACGGGGGTCTTGTCACACCCAGAGGCACGAGTCCTTCCAACCTCTCTCTTCTGCTGAGTCGCCCTGTGCCCCCGGGGCAGGCGCGGGGCGGGGGGCGGCGGCGGGGCGGTGGTGGCACAGCAGGACGCGCGGCCTGATGGCAGGAGGGGACCGTCCCAGCGGAGGCAGGGCTGAGCTGCGGCCTGAGCCCGGCTGGGAGGCCCTCCGCAGAGGCGCCCCCGACAGCCCGGCAGTGCTGGGGGCACGACAACTCGGCAAGTGACCGTCCTTTCTTTGCAGCATATGAGCAAAACCACTTTCCCTAAACACACTCGGCAGACGGGCCCGTTTTCTATTCCCGTTCGGAGGAAATGCTGGCGGTGTGTCACACACCCCGCGCTGCAGAGCAGCTGTGACTCCGGGGCTGGACAGAGCGGACGGCCGCTCTCCGCAGAGACCCTCACAGTCGGACAAGGTCACCCGAGGGGCCGCGCAGTTACCGATGGCCCAGGACACCTGCAGGCGTCGGGCCCAGACCCGTCGCCCTTGGACCCAGAGGGAGCAGTTTCTGGTGGTAAAAGAAAACGCAAGAAGCGGGGCGCCGGCAGGAAGGGCGGGTACACACGCAATGGCGAGAGCTGTGTCCTGAGCATTCTGAACCCTAATGTGGGAAACAAGGCCTCGAGAAAGGAACCTGTGAGATGAGAGTAGTTTCTAAAACATGGGGAAGCAACCTGAGGACCACGGACAGAAACCACTGCTGTGCCCACCGCACCCGAGGCCCGGGCTTCCCTCCGTCCCTCTCGGGCCCTCCCACCTTTACAGCAGCACGTGTGAATGGTTTAAATGATGCTCTTATTAAACACCATATGGTCTCTTGGCGGAGGTATCACGAGGGCGGCTTCGAGCAGCCGTGGAGAAGCCGCTTTCACTGTCAGCCACGCGGGGCCGGGGCCTCGGTTTAGCAACTCTGGCCGTTTCTACTTGCAGAGCCTCACGATCATCTTGGGTAACCTATTCTAGAACAAGCAGCGCACTGTTTGCTCGGCACTGAAGCAAGGGGCGGCCGCCATGGCCTGTGGCGCCCGAAGCCCGTTCCCGGGGGCACGACAGTCCCTCATCCCAGACGAGGCCATCCCAGGGCAGAGCAGAACTTGAGGCTTTTGGAGAAAAACAGCTCATTCCCCTGCATCAACTGTATGTTAAGTCTAAACCCCAAAAGCCCCGCGAACACGCTCTCAGACTTGGTCTGTTCTTTGTCTGCATAAAGGAAGAAACTGACCAAAGTAAAAAGCCAAAAGAAAAGTCTTCCTCCTCCTTCTGAACTCCAAGCGGCCAAAGAAAGGGGTTTCTGTCCACAGAGATCTCACAACACGCCCCAGGAGATGCACAGCTCACTCTGAATGGTCCACGCAGAGCTACCTTTAGAGAAAGTAAGAGCATAGCTGAACGATGTCTGCGACCTTGAACTAGTCTTTCGCCAGGACCAGTGAGGTCCAGAGGAGGGGCCAGGCAGCCCGGTGGCCCCCCACAAACCCATTCCCTTCCAGCTTGAGAATCACCGATGCACGTTTACCAACTCAGAAATCCACTTTCACCAAACTCCCACAAACAGCAAGCCCCAAACATGAACCAACCAGGCCCTGGGAGGGAGACCGAAGGTCCCCCTGCAGCGAGTGAGTCAGAGACGACGGTGTCCGGCCTAGGGGCCCGCCCAGCACGACTCTGATCTCATGGGGAATGCAGGCTGTGTACCCTTTACGGACCTAAGAAGTGAAGCTGGATAGACTGTCTGAGCACTGATCACAGGTTCTGCCCTCGACGGCGCTGTGTGACCGGGAGCTTCACATGGAGAGAAAGCTGCAGGGGGCGGACGAGGGACACTCGGTGTTCACTCCGGGGCAGCTGATGAGCTCCTAGGTGTAGCCCTTCCCACTTCCGATGCTGGACCCAACTGTCTTGGGGGAGACACTCAACTGTTTAAGAGCAGTGATTTTCGTGACTTCCTTCCCGTGCAGAGAGCATGTTTTCCTGTATCTGGCACTGGTAAAGGTGATGACTCGTCAAGCACAGACAGGTGGACCCAGGTACCCGGACAGAGAGGGAGCCGCCGTGACAAGAGGGGCCCAAGTGCCCTGCCCCGAGCCGCACCCGCCTGGCTGATCCTCTGCGCAGATCCCAGCCCCTGGGTGCCCCGAGGCTGCAGTGACACGACCATCAGGCCAGGTCGACTTGCTTGCGCTTCCTGTCCCAGCCTCGGCTGGCTCAGCCCACGCGCCACAGCGCATGCCTGTGGTGGGCCGCGGCGCCGGGCCCTGAGGGCGGCGGCTCCGCTGTCGCTCTGGCCTGCCGCCCTTGCTCCCCTGGATGGGTCTGGCGGGGGGAGGGGGTGTGGAACCACCTGAGGACATCGGCGACCCTTCCGGCCGCGACGTGCGTCTTCCCCGGGGAGCTGGCCACTCCTGGGCCCCCTGGCTACCAGCCCCAGGACAAGTGCTGGCGGGAGCCACGCATGGCCAGGTGACCAAAGGCCCATCGGGAAGCAGACCGTGCGCCTGGAGCGGTGGGTCCCCCGAGGCCGGGCCCCACAGGACCCCTTCTCCTCCTTCCCAGAGACAGCGAAACGGGAACAAGCTTTCCGCGTGGCAGAACGTCACCGAAGGGTACCCTGTCCTGTCTCCCTTCCGGTTCCAGTCACCCCCTCCACTCCCTTCGCCCTGAACCACGGCCAGAACAAACAGTGGGATCGCCGCTGACAACAGACAGAAACCAAAGAACCTCAGAAGTCAGGAAAGCACAGGGTCAGGGCCAGACTGGCCAGACCAAGCAGCGAGGCCCGGGGCTGAGGGCGTCCCGTGGCCTCAGCTGTCCTGGGCGTCTGTCCTCCGTGGGGGGGCGCCAGCTCTCCCGAGGACAGCTCGTGAGCAAAAAAGCCCCTGCGGGAGGCCTGCGCGGCCCCGGGACCGAGCAGCAACGAAGGGGAAGGAAGCGATGGCCACCCCGGAGCCCTGGCCGAGGACCCACGGGGGCCAGGCCACCGGCGTCGGGGCGCCCGCCTCGGCCTCACTCGCTCTCACACTCGCCCACGCACACCAGGCGCGGCCAAAGACACAGGGCCGAGGCGCCACCCCTCCCCGTCTTGGCCGCGTCACAGGAGAGCTCCTTCCCACGTGGGGTTCAGTGCCGCGGACGCCGGACCAGGCGTTTCCCGGGCCGGCCATGCGGGGACAACCGCGACAGCTAGAGCACCTGGCACACCTGGCCCTGCGGTGGCGCTGCTGTCGGGGCCCTGCTGCGGACGGCGCTCCGTGAGGGAGGAACCGTTTCCACCGGGGCCCCTGGAGCTCGTGCGGAAGGTCCGACGCGGGGCGCCAGGCCAAGCTGAAAGCCACTTTTCACAGAGACGTGCGTAACATTTCCTGAGAACGTTCTCCCAGCGAAGCCGAAGGACTGCGGGCTCCTCCTGCTCTGCTCACGTCTCCGGGGGACACAGGGGGTCCCACCGAGCCGGCGCGAGCTGTGGGCCGAGCCCAGGGCCTCTGGCGCCGCGGGCGGCAGACACGGTTCCGATGGGAAACGCCAGGCAGGCTGTCGGGCAGTGAAGACACTGGAACCTGGTGATGAAGCCTGGTGAGCGGCCGCGTGGCAGCCGGCCATCAGAGCCACCGGGAAACGGGGGCCACTCGACGTGACAGTCCTCCTGTCGAGCGGCCACCTCCTTCCCCCAAGGACCAGTGGCCGCATGTCCCCCGTGTGGCCGGGACGCAGGTCAGACGCTGCAGCCGCTGGCTCAGGTGGATCTTTCGTGTGAACAGCTTTCTGCCTTGAGCACCAGTCCGGGAGGCCGTCAGTCTTCCTTGAAGTTAACAGACAGAGCGGCAGGTTTACTCTCCGTGGGATTAATGCCGGTAAGAAGCCCAGACCTACGGCCGCTAAACTGTCTACAGGTGAAAACCGCAAAAACAGATGGTCCCTTCTGTGTCTGTCTCAGGTTGACGATGAAGCCTGAATTCCGTGTTTCAACAAAACCAGAAACACGTGGGGCCCAAAGCCAAACCAGGCCCCTCCCCTCCGTCCCATTAATGCCAATACTTTCTACGTCACTTTTAGGAGAAGAAACCATAGGACAGTCTGAAATCCGGCGGTGCTGCCTTTCTCTCGCCTCTTTCCAATCTCCTACAAACAGGGCTGGATCCCCAGGCCTGTGCTCTCCTTTGGAGGCCCGTCTGCACCAGGCTGCATCTCTGTCCCGTCCTCGGGGCGAAGGCTGCTCTGGGAGCCTGGCTCCTGTGCGCGGTCGGGGCCGCCTGGACGTGGTCCCGGAGACGCTGAGCTACAACCTTCTTCCCACGCCCTTGACGAAAGGCATGGGGAGAAAAGGTGCTGCTGGGGGCGGGAAGAAACGAAAACAAAGAATTCCCAGAACCGTACAATCAGCTGTCTGAACGTTTTTATGGGTTTTTGTTTTAAACCAGAGCGGGGGCAGGAGCTAAGACGCCGGGAGGATGAGTGTGTCCGGGTGCACGTGGACGGAGGCGTCCTGCCCATGTGGCACCGAGCTCGGTCCGCGTGGAGCCCCTCATCTCGGTCCCGAGCGGCGGTGGTGTCGGCCGCCTCGGCCCAGCTCCGGAACTCCTTTTGGCGTGTGTCCCACTCCACCTCCACGCGGGCGACGTCACTCCCCGGTCCCGGGGCCCTGTGGGCCGGCGGCCGCAATCGCCCCGGCCTGCGTGGTCACAGTCCCCATGGGCTCCTCCACTCGGGACCTCTTGAGCTCGGGCTCCCCGGGGGGAGAAGCGGAGGCGCCGGTGGCGGCGGTGCTGGTGGCCGCCGCCGCTGCCGCTGCTGCCGCTGCTGCCGGCTCCTCAGGCCCCACCTCGCGCACACGCGTGACCACCACCGGGGTGGACGAGCTAGCCTGAGCCGCGAGGAGCTGCAGGGGGCTGGCGAGGGCTAGGGCGGAGGAGAAAGAGTCACGTTGGGAGGCCGGCTGGGAGCGGCGCCCGTCTGTCCTGAACACAGGCCAGCGCGGCCACACGAGGGCCGAGGGACGCAGGGGCCCAGCTCCCCGGCACGCTGGGCGCCTCTGGGCAAAGCCAGCAGCAGCGCTTGGCCGCCAGCCCCTCCCGGACCCCGGCCCACTCCCCGCCCCAGGGGCCTCCGTCCCTGTCTCCTCCTCGCGCTGCTGCCTCTGTGTGTGGATCCCTCTAGACACCCCGCTGGCTCCCGCCTCCCCTCCGGCAGGGCCTGCCTGCACCAAGAGCTCTCCCCAGCCCTCCCCACACCCTCCTGCGTGGCGCTCAGGGTGCCAGTGCCTTTTCACTTCTCTCTCTGACCTCTATCCCCCAAGCAGGGCATGAGCCCCGTGACCTGGGGATTTTGCCCGTTCCCTCGGGGCTACCCTGGCATCGTATCCCAGTGCCCGGCACACAGCAGGTGCTCGATAAACTGAATGGATGACTGCCTTAACTGGGAAAGTGTTCTTGCTGCACTGACCCTGGTCAGACCACAGAGCTTAAGGCCAGGAAGTGGACGCCGGGCAGGGCCTCACCGTAAGCGCTGCCGGCTAGACTACTCGTGGGGACGGTGTGCTTGCCGTTCTGAGTGACGGCCCGGACCGGAAGGTGGTGCTGCCCGATGGTCACTGGTGTGGCCGGCTGCAGGATGGTGACCGTGTGTCCGGGGACCCCTGGGGCCATCTGGCTGGCCACCGTCTGGATCACTCGGCTGGCGGCAGGGATGGTGGCAAACGCGATGGTGGGCTTCTCTTCCAAGCCTGCGGGGACAGCGTGCGTCAGAGCCACATTCATGGCACCCGCGGTGGCACTCGCAGGCGTCTCAGCCTGAGCCTGTCCACGTGGGGAAGGGGGCCCTGAAGCAAGGACACTGGGAAAAGACCCTGGTTCTCAATAGAAAACTTCCAGTGATGGAATGTTTGTTTGTTTGTTTGTTTGTTTTTGCGGTACGCGGGCCTCTCACTGTTGTGGCCTCTCCCCTTGCGGAGCACAGGCTCCGGACGCGCAGGCTCAGCGGCCGTGTCTCACGGGCCCAGCCGCTCCGCGGCATGTGGGATCTTCCCGGACCGGGGCATGAAGCCGGGTCCCCTGCATCGGCAGGCGGACTCTCAACCACTGCGCCACCAGGGAAGCCCGATGGAATGTTTTGAAACAAGAGAAAAACAAGTAATAGGGCTTTAGGAAAAAATTTAAATACCTTGCGCTTTAACCAAAGCAAGCTTAATCTAAGAAAAAAAGCGTATTGTTTGGAATGAAAGGATTTGCACTTGGAGCCATAACTTAAGTTTTCTTTCCCCAAAACGCATGTGTCGTTAGGACGGTATTACAGAAGACGTAGCCACTGAGATCAGCCATCAGTGGTCATTAGGATGCTGCCTGATTCAAAAGTGTTCCCTCGAGGGTCTCTGACAGCACTGGTTGCATTTTCAACATTTACCTCATTAATTCCCTGGGATCCAGATTTCTAGCTCAGGACTTTGTTTTTTACTTTGAACGTCTCCTAAGGACCCCTGCTGGGGGTTCTACAGGACTCTTCCTCCGACTCCAAGCTGAGGCCCCGTACCTACTTCAGGGGCACCTGGGGGCGCTGGGCATCTGAGGTGCTGCGCACAGGGAGCAGCGTTTCAGAGGACGATCAGTGCTGCTTTACAGGACGCACTTCCCGAAAAACAGGAGTGGGGCGGAGAGGCCGCAGCCCGGGAGCCACTGTCCCCCAGAGACAGCCTGGGCCCCACGCCTGGGCTCTGCAGCCCCCCTGGCCCAAGCTGACGGCTCCACCTTCTGGAGACCCACGTCCCCGCCAAGGCACTGCGCGGCGACGTTACCTCTCGCCTCGCTGCCCAGGTCCAGCACGGCCGTGCCTGCCGCTTCGTGGGCAGCCCCTGCCGAGGCCTGGCTGGCAAGGATGTATCCGTTGGCAGAGCTGGCGGAGCTGGTGACCACCCTGAGCATGGTGACAGGGGGCGCCTGCTGCACCACGTGGATGGCGTGGCCCGAGGGCTGCTGGGCTGTCACTAGCGAAGCCGGCATGTAGGCGACGGGCTTGGCTACCAGATTGGGCGGTCGGGGCGGCACGGCCATGATCACCGGCTGGGCGCTGACGGGAGAGCCTGCGGGGGAGGATGCGGGTCAGCGGAGACCCCCGTGTGCGCCCTTCCTGTGTGGGGCGCGGCGCCGAGTTCCGCCACATCAACCAGAGGACCAGACCCTTCTTACCGGGTGCGCTTTGGGAATACCGATACTCGGGAACAGAAGCTAACTTTGCCCCAAAGTCAGGGTCATGCGGAATGGGTGAGCCCTCCCGGGACAGGCACTCTGGAGTCTGCAGGCCACTGGAACGCGGGGACATGAGCCCGGGGTGGGTGGGTGAAGCTGGGGCGCTCCTAGGAGGGGGGAGACAGGACCACAGCAGTGAGTACATACGACAAGAAACGAAGACGGCACTTATCAAAACGGGAGATGTCTCAATGCCCGTGCCCTACGTGCTGCCTTTGCCCAACTTTTCCTGATGCTTCTCTGTCCTCGCGAGGGACTTCCGACCCTGGCACTCCGCCCGGTACATGTAACATCACCCAGCGTTTAAAGGCCCAGCGAAGGCCACGATCCAGAGTGTTTACCTCCTGAAGGCCCGGGCCGGCCTCCCAGGAAAGCGGCTTGGGCTTCTGGGTGAAAAACAGCAGCTTTGCTGGGATGGGCACCAACCTCCCCCTGGACAAATCGACACCCGGAGAGCAAAGCACATGCTGGGAGACCAGCCGTTTTGTCTCGCACAGATAATAATCCACAGAACACTTCGCCTGGGTCTAAAATCGAGCATCTTGCCCAGCTCCTGCCCAGAGCACTGCCGGGATGGGCTGGACAGCAAGACTGTCCCCGACCCAGGCCTAGCGGCCTCATCTGACTGGTCTGATGCTCAACCTGGCGGCCGCTGGGTCACTCTCCAGCCCTCCCGCCTGTGGCGGCCCCGACCCCCCATCGGGGCCTGTCTAATCCGGCTTTGCTCCTCCACCCGCAGCACAGGCACCCGTGCCCTCTCTCCCTGAGACGTGGTGCATATGCCAGGCTCTGGCTGAGCTCCCCTCCTGGCCTGGGGGCTCCCTTCCCGAGCCCCACCCATCCCAGTGCAAGTTCCACCAGCACAAGAACAGGCTCCCAACTGCCAGTGTGACCTTGAGGACGGGCCCCCTTACAGACACCCTTTACGCGGGGCTCCCCGGGCAGCGCTGGACACGCAGCGCAGGCCCCGTCACTATCCCCAGCTGGCCGGCGGGCCTGTCTACACGTGACAAGCAGTGTTGGTCACGGGGTTGAACTGCGTCCCCCAAAGACATGCTGGGGTCCTACCCTCCAGGGCCTCAGAAGGGGCCCTTCCTTGGAGACAGGGCCTGTAAGAGGTGGTCGAGTCAGGTGAGCGGGAGGGGGCCCTCGTCCACCTCCGTTCCTCCGTCTCCCCCCATTCCCACCGTGCATCATCCCAGTGTCCGAGAGCCAACGTGGAGGGCCAGCTGCCGTGCCCGCTCACGCCCTATCACAGGGCTGGCCGGGCCTGAGCCGGTCTCTCCAAAATCCAGTGAAGAGGTCTGAGTGGCCATGGCCCCCGGGGTGGAGGGGCGGGGACTTACCTGGACGACAGTGGCCCGAAGGGGGTGCGGAAGCAGGAGGCGCCCCGCTGCCTCCGCTTCCGGAACGCCTGCTCCACGAGCTTGGCCTCGGAGGCAGCGTCTATCCGCCAGAAGGACCCCTTCCCGGGCTCCTCCTGGGAGCGAGGGACCTTAACAAAGTAGCGATTCAGGGAGAGGTTGTGGCGGATGGAATTCTGTGGGCAGAGCAGAGGGGGTCAGCGGCCACGGCGGGTCAGACCTGAGCACAGCAGCCGGGAGAGCGCGGCCCCGGTCCGGGCCGCAGAGGCCTCCTCGGGGGCGGGGGGCGGCTCACTGGGGAAGGACAGGGGTTTCACAGTGGTTTTTCTCGTGGAAATTCAGCACACGCTCACGACCACCCCTTACACAGGAAGCGAACCATAAGGACAAGCCCTGGCCTGGGAGACGCCCAGCTCAGAGCTCGTACTGAACCGTCCAGCCAACGGGACAGAGTGGCCACGGGGGAGACCTGAGCGGCTGTGACGTGCTGGCTGTGGCCAAGGCCGGCAACGGTCTTGTGAACCCACACAAGAAACCGTCCGGAAAGAGCGGGGACGGCGTGTTTCCAAGTTAGCTCAGGAGAAGCTGGCGCACCAAGCGTGGGAACGTTTCCGGACCCAAGGGGGTGCTCACTCTGGACACAACGTGGCCGTCCGGGGAATGAGCCCCCAGCCCCCGGGGGTCGTAAAGTTGGGGCCCGGGCACACCGCACCTGCCAGCCCTTGTCGGCTGTCCGGTAGTACGGGTAATGCTTGGTGATGTGCGCATAGATGCCGCTCAGCGTCAGCTGCCGGTCCTGCGCTGAGGAGATGGCCTGCACGATCAGCTGTGCGTAGGAGTACGGCGGCTTCGACTCGTCCTGAGGACACAGCCAGCGTGGGGTTAGCCCGGAAAGACGTTTATGGTCCGCCCCCGCCCTCCCC